CGGAGGTAGAGGTAGAAGAAGGATGTGGGCGAGAGGAAGATGGGGTGGTGTGAAATGGAGTAGTTCTGCAGGGGGGAGGACAATAAGAATGAAGAGCAGTAATAAGGGAAGAGGGGGTTGACATTGAAGAGGGTTATGCAGCAGGGGATGAAGAGGAGAATGTTGGGGATGAGGAAAAGGTATTTTCTAGGGGTTGAGTAATAACCTGGGTGAGTATTTCAGAATGGTTAGAGTTGTTTGTAAGCGTAGGAGAGGGGTATTAGCATCAGTGGTCGGAGCCGTGGTCAAAGGAGGGGCAGGGGTCGGAAAGATGGAGGAGGAAAGTCCATGCAAAATTAGTTGAGTCGGGGGCTGAGGCCCAAGGTAGGGATAATCCCTATATTAGGCCTCAGTCTCCATCTCCTAAGCACCCCCACAACAACAATGGGCAAGGAATGGGGGGAGGGGGGGATCAGACATAAACCTGGGATGATTTTTGCTGACTCTTCAAAGACTGCATAAACCGTACAAGTGCTAAGGGAGATGTGATATGTGATGCTTGAAATAGCTGTTTTTATATATGACAGTCAGCAGCAGCACACAATTTTTTTTTTTTTTTTTTTTTTTTCCCAAACAAGCAAATAGCCCAAGTTGTATTTATAACATGATTTGTCAGTTAAAAAAAGAAAAAAATATCTTGTTTTAGATGAGTCTATTGAATTTTGTAAACCTTTTGTTGGATATATATATTATAAACCAGTGCCTTTTTCCTATGCCAAGACAGCTCTCTTTTTGTCTACATTGGTTGTGATATCTCAGTATATTCTGTATGTATATACCAGTCCAGTATATAATCTATGCTGTGTGTGTATTAAAGTGTATAATGACTGCCAGCTTTTAAGAATGTCATATATAGTGACTTCTGACTTATAGAAGATAGAAAAATTCAATATCTCTTAGTAATATTAGCATTCTCATTTGTATTAGCAGTTAGTACTAGTATTAGTACTTTTGTTTGCAATGTAGTTTTATTTCTGTTATTAGATATTCATAGTTTTATAAATGTATTAGTACCACTTTTTATCATCACTACTGAAGAAGCAAAATGTACAATTTGCCTCTGGAAGATAAATACTTTTAAGTAGTTCCCAACTTACTTTCAGTACTTCATTATTATTTTTTCATTAATCTGGTTGACTTTAGGTACATTGGACATTTTTGAAAAAGTATATAATGAAAACTTGTTTCATATTCTTTTCAAATTGTTAATTTTCAATTACCACATAGTAAGATTATGCTCAAAGCCCTAGTAATGAGAATTAATCATTACATTATAAGGTGCACAATTAAGATTGGGGTACTAGTTTAAATTCTGCATTTGAGTTGGGCAAGGAAAAAGGAAACCTGGCAAAATAATGTTTTGTCCATTTCTGAAAAAAAAGGAAATAAAGCGCTATTCATTTACATACAAGATATTTCTTTTTTAGATATTTTATACCAATCCATCTTATTTGAAGGATAGTTTGGGTTCTGTTTTTACTTGTATTTATGGAAGTAAATAATTATTTCTTTACTTTCTCGTATCTTTAAATATACCAGAAAAAAAAATTATATATGTACTTATTCAAGGTGATGTAATAAATCAACTGAAACAACTGCACATGAAAAGTTGTAGAAGGCTTGATAGTTAATTATAAAAACCTTCAAGCTTAAAAAAGTGAATGTGAAAGGTTCTGACTGCATTCTTCCTGTCAGAACAACATATTCTTTATCATCTACGTCAGTGTCCATACTTGTACCTTTGTAAAGGAACTACATACTTCATTTGGTTTGTAAACATCAGTTAAGATATATATGTATATTTATAAAAACAAAATATGTGCCTTTATTTTTTGCATTAATAAAGACATGTTCCAAAAATGTTTGACTTTGCATTTTAAGTAAACAAAGTGAAGCAAGTGAACACAGGGAGAGAACTCTCCCAGTGCTTAGCACCAATGCTAAGTATGTGACTTAAAATGAGTTTTGTATCCCTGGAACTTTTTTTTTTCTTTTCTCGAGGAGGGTGGGTCAAGGGAACCCCAATTTCATACATAGAAAAATAGCAAAAAAAAAAAAAAAAAAAAAAAAAAAATTGTGGACCAGCCTGCTTTTATATTTAAAAAAAGTGGAATATTAAAAGGTTAGCAGCCAAATATGTGATACAACAATTAATAGGAATTATATATTTCATTTGCTTTTGTACAAACAAATACTATCAATTTTTTAACGAATAACTAGTGCAAAAGTAAAATGTGCACTGATTGACATTTTTTGTAACTATACATGTACTCCATGTCTACAAATGTATGATTACAAAATATTCTTTTGGTCCATTGTTGTCATGTTTTTACCAAACCATTCAAATATGTATTTAAATGCATTTTGTTAATTGTTGGATAAAAGTAATCTTTTTTTTTTTCAGTAAGAAAATACTTGTTTTTTCTTTTGTCAGTTTTTTCTTTTGTCAATGTAATTTACTAATCTTGCACTTGGGTTACATCAGAATTATCTTTTAAAAATTTCTGTACCTACATACCACACATCTAGCAGATAAGATCACAAATCTCTAGAAAGACCACCAACTTCACTATGCTTCTTGTTGAACGTGGTGGTGAACGGACCCAGGCTTCTTGTGTTTCTTCCTCTTTCTTTTGCCCTTTCCTCCTTCTGTCTGTTGCTGAGGTTTCTTTACTTTTTTACTCTTCTTACATGAAAGGGGGTTTGGATTCTTTTTCTTTTTCTTCTTCCTCTCTGGTTCTACCTGCTCCTCACCTATCAACTTTCTCTTGAGTGAGTGAAGGGTTTTCTGCTCGTATGTTGTAATGGTACTGTAATAGGATATTTGTAAGATCAACTGTGTTATTAGTTGTCATTCTAATTGATTACACAAAACAATGCTGTTCCATTAGTGAATCCTCTCAGTGTCAGTACAACCATTAGATAGTCTGACACTTGACATCCAACAATGGAGAAGGGAGTTCAGAATAACTTTTTTTTTCCCTTTAAAGTTTACAAAATGTTTTTCGTTTGTTCTCGATGTATGTTTCCTGGCTCTTTATATCATTGCCATGAAACAGGGAAACATGCAAGTTAATTACAATGCATCAAGCTTTATCAAAATTAAGTAATACTCAAAATATTCAGCATTTTAGGATGCCTTACTTGTGAGAATTCAAAAATAATTTCATAATAAAATAATCAAAGAAAAGACCAGATCAAGTAATTATACTAACCTGTGTGTGTTCATAGCCTCTTCTTGAGACTTTTCTGTTGGTTTCTCAAGTGTGGGGGCACTACCATGAAGGTAAAGCACAGGAGTACCTGGTACACTTTCATGGATGTGATTCTTTAATTCATTGTCTTGAGAGGCAATAATAAATCTGTATGTAAAAAATATGAATGAGAATGCGTTTCATATATATCTATATTTATATATCTAGGTTTATCAATTCATCTGTCTGTAAAATACATTCATTAGAAAAAAAGCAAGCAAGAATGTGTGCATAATGCTATGTTGCTAAATCTTACCTGATTTCTATTTACATTTACATTATGACCTCTTCTTACGAGTGCACATTAAAGTTACTTACTTCATTGGATTTTCCTTCTTGAGAAGAGATTTGATACATGAAGAAGCTGGCACAGGCCTTCCTTCATGGCCACAAACTTGAACAGGAAACTGCTTTACTATCATATATGACCCATGCAAATTTTTTTCTGAAAATTATTTCTAAAATTAGTTAACTCACAAGCCATAACATTTATACATTATTGGATCTCGTTTGTGATAATGTTAACGTTAAAAGCTTCAAACAGCAAACCTTACTTTACGATTGAGGCATAAGGAAACATACGTTCAATTTTTGTGATGGAGAGAGTAAGCATTTTCACAAACTTGGTTTCTTTTTTTTTCACTACACACACAAAGACATTATAGATTTGATGGTCTTTGTGTGCAAATGCACATGAAAGTGAGTGTGTGTGTGTGCCTGCGCATGTGATGGACCATATGGCAAAATGTACATGATGGATAAATCTTGAACCAAGAGATACATCTTCCAAATCTTAAATAGTGTGAAATAATAGCATATTTACTTTTGAAAAAATACATATATAATTGTAAAATAGAAAAGCTGTGACAAGGCAAAAATGTTACACATGTACTGCAATTTTTTTGTGAAAAAGTTAAATATCACTTTCCCTATTATTCTGCAGGAAAGCACAATACCTGCGTAATTCACTGGAAGACTTCATTTTAACAAAATCATTTATAATACTTTGGGAAATGCACTTCTTAGAAACAGGTATTAAACAAAAAATAAATAAAATACAGACAATTGAATGAGAAATAAAAACCTGACTTGTTCTTAGCTCCGGTGACCGTAAATGGTTCAAGATATAGAAAGGTATGTATCAAAGTAGTTCAGTATGAACTTGAGTAATTGGTGATTTGTACAAATAAATGAGCATCTGTATCAGAAAAAAAAAAAAAAAAAAACCAAAATTAATTCTCTTATTCTACATAATTTATACATAGGGTAAAGGAACATAAAGTTGACAATGAAGTACCAACCAATTTTTTTACTTACTTAATAGCTTTAGTTTTTCGACTTCTAAAATGATGCACTGGGTTGTGAGTAGCTTAGTCTCTGGCGACTCTAGATATTTTGGAATATCCTCGGCGATTTTCACCTTTCCCTGTGTAAGACATTTCACTGGGTTGCAACCTTTGGAAACTCACAGATCTTCATTTGAAAACAACTTACAAAACATAATACTGACATTAAACTTCATTTCAAAAAGAAAGAAAGAAAGAAAGAAAGAAAGAATAAATGCACATAAAACCCCACTATATCAATCTAATCACCCACCTCTAAAGCTGCGTAACAGAAAGTTCCATCTAACAAAACAGTATACGGTGGCCGAATATTAAAGTTATTTCGATAAAACCCTAAGATTCTTTGGGCTTTCTTGTGACGCCTGATCTTCATCTTGATACCTCCCTAGCAGTCCTGTAAAGAGTAGAAATGAATTAAATGGCCAGAAAAAAACACGGTAGGCAAAGTGAAAATTGCGTGAGCATTTTGATTTTAAATTGCAATTATCTAGCTTAGATAATTATTACAACATCTGAGACATTTTATTAATCCTCAATCCAGCATGCAGATTTAAGCTGTGCTTATGAGATTAATGTTATTATATATATTTGTATGTACTATTAAATGCCCTCATCTCAGTATCAGTACTTTTTTACAAGTAGTTCTTAAAGTACTTGCCTATTGTTTTTAGTTACTGATTGTCTTAAAATCCCTCTTACTAATTTTGATTTATATCTGCAGCATTACCTATAAATCTTTTGTTGTATGTAGAATATATATTTGTAATAGTATAGGTATTTCATTCACCCCCTTCTCATAAATAGTTCCCTTGACAAATTCAAATATTGTAAATAAACCATCAAAATTAGCCAAAATTCACAATGACAAATGTAAGATTCATGAATGGGAACAGATAAATTCTGAGTCCATGAAATAGAATGAACTTTATTCTGGAAAAGAAATACTGAATCCCTAATTACAAGTATTGTTTTATGAAATGATTTCATTGTATCTTCCTCATCTTTCTTCTACATTAGCCTATTCATACCTCTTTTTACCACTAACTCTCTCTAACCTATGAGTAAATATTGACAGATGTCAAGTTATACAAATACCGAAGTACAAAATCCAATAGTTATTGGCCAATAATACAATGAATCCTATTCTATCAACATCTCACACATTCTGAACAGTAAATAAACTGCAACTTTTTAATTTATTTTGAATCCAACAAAATATTAATTAATACAGTTGGCTATTACTCAGATTAGGTCAGATAAAAGATACGACGATACAAGACATGCATATTACATTCATGTACTGCTTTCCACCTAATGATGAAGCTGACAGAAATTGTGGGATAAAGGATACTTGGAAAAAGAGTGAATACGAACTATTCAAAGCAAATACTTGGACGTACTATACACTAGTCATGTTGGAAACAGAAGTAGCCAGTGGGAGTGAGAGGATGCTTGGAAGATAATGGTTTTTAAAGAAATCTTCAGGATATAGTCTACTGCTGTATATTGCAGGAAATATGCAAATCAACCTCGACAAACTGCAAACCAACAAAAATTTGTAGTGAAAAAATGGATACTTTTGTTTTATTGTGACCATTATCTTTATTCTGGCTATTATTGCTAATAGAAAGACATTTAATTTGTTTATAATCAGGTGGTGCCTGTAGTCAAGCTAGAGTTAATTTGAATCCATTCATGTCGGTTAAAATTTCCAGTAACATTTGGCAAGGCTGGGGTGCACCACTCTGCACCTGGGTTTGTATGGGCACCTGGTGTGATTATTTTGCCTTAGATACTTCACCAAAAGATGATGAGACTTCACCCATCGTGATTGGCTAAACCCACTAGATATGGGTGAAAGAATTTAGCTGAGGTTTATGACAGCCATCATCATGGGAAAATATGATTGAGGGATAGAGTGAAGGGCTGTAAAGACATTTGCTGATGAGTGATAAGTGACAGACATCTAGCTGAAAGTGCAAAAAGCTCTTGGAGGGAGATTAAACTCAGTGGGCCTTTAGAAATGGGTTCTTGCATTATTTCCACTGCTAAACAAAGGTGGAATGTACCATCTGTAAGCCAGTGAGGACACTATTTTCAGTGTAGTACCCTTGCCCCCCAGTGCAGGAACAAGAAAATATGAAAATTGAATAAAAAACACATGGTTACTAATTGTTATTGTTATTGCAAAGACTTATAGACCACCTACTAAAAATATGGAGTCTCAGTCTGTTTCCAAATTGATAAAGCATAAGAGCTAATAGCATAACAAAGCAGAGGCAAGGACTCTTGCTACTATGCACGAGTGTTTGTGTGCACTGGACCTACAAGACAAACACTGGAGAGTTGCCACTCAACTAAGCCTAATGACCAAATTTTGGTCCATGTGCGAGCCAAGGGGCACCCAGATCCAATGGGTTAAGGCTTAATAAAAGTTATGTTTTGATGTTAATCATGCATAAGATCTTGGAAGCAACTTAAAAGCAGATTATCCATGAAACTTTATTATGTGTGAAACACTACCATTTTCAGATGCACATATTTTGGTAAAGCTTATTTTCACACAGCTTTATGGTATAAGTACATGAATACACAGAATTAGAAAATGAGACATTCATATGGTATATACATTAGGTACTCAAAACACAAACTAATAACTTTGTTGTAAAATAAATAACAAGTATCACTATGCATGTATTATAAAACAACATTAATTTTTCAGAATACCTTTGCAAAACTGATCCCAACAATTTTGGTATCAATGAATTTCTCTAGTACAGCCAACAATAAAATCAGTGTCACCTCACCAGACCTGGCTCAGTGAGATTATGGCCTTCTTGCCTTGAAAGGTGGCCCACATT